CCCCAAAACCCCAAAACCCCAAAACCCCGTCATGAAAGATCTGAGATTGATTTTTGAATTCGAATTTTCCTTCATAATTGTTATTTAAATTAATGCAAGACAATAAAAACCATCTTTAATTGGATGGATTACAGTCTAACCCTCATGAAAATTTAAACTCTGTAAGTATACATAAAATGAATCAATAACTTAAAAGGCCCTAGAGAGAAGATAAAGCTCACTTAGATCACTCAAAGATATTTAAAATAAGAAGAAAATCAAATCGATAGTAATGGGAATGGATCAATCCAAGCAGTTGCATTCCCACGGAGATTTAGGACCAAGAGAGGAAAACAATACTAATGGAAGAGCTAATAACTATAGATCTCTTTTGAATGCCAGCTTCAACTCTAATAGGATACCCCTCAACAACTCAGTTTAGGCTCTTAACAATTCGGTCGATTAGATACTTCCTCCTGTAGATGTAGAAGGGAAAAAGAGGTCTTTTATCATTAAGTAAGCAATAAAAGATGGGTAGCCTCTTATAAGGAAGAGAAGTCCATCAGATTATATGAAAAGAAAGTCTACCCCCGTAACTCCAAAGAAAAACATTGGAAATATTACTGTTCCTCAGTCACTAGATTAAGATTCATTTTAACTGCTTTAGATGACAAAGTAGTAAAGAAATAATTTAAACCTGTCAACAGTCTAGGCTCTTAATGGTAAGCAAACTGAATTCATAATTATCAAATATAGATGTAAAAATATTTCCATCACTGAGCTAGACACCTAAGTTCGATATTGTAGGAGGGCTTAAAGTATTGAGTCACGGTGATGGTTAAAATGTTCCTCATATTGCTTAGTCACTCTAACCTAAAATTGCACTTCATTAATAATACAGACAGTCAAGACTTAGATTAAATGGGTCTAAGACTGGAAGTAGAGCTTTTCTTTTAAATGATTCTAAATCTTAATCGAGGATAAAATAGAGATAAGGAATTCCAGGCGGATAAGCGTGGGAAAAATCAAAGGCTAATTAATTCTTAGTCCGGGATGCCAAACCTTAGGAAGTTTTACTAACCTTACAAGAAATTGCCTCATAAAATATTTAACTGTTCTATCAAAAGCCCTCTGACTTAGACTCAACTGAACCTCTTGATTCACTTATTGATTCATTATATGTAAGATAAATGCAATAACTAACGCAAATAGATGATTATTGACAATTAAATTAGTGTTTATAACGAATAAATCAAAGCTAAGCAATAGCATTTGGCCACTGGAGTTAGAACTGAATAATGTGAAGATTTTATGAATTACATATGCCAATTACAGCAAAGAAATTAGGTTTTCGTTGATTCAGTAGAATTTTTCACTGAGCACATTAACAAAATGACTGAACTGGAAGATGAGAAAAATTCTTAAGAGCAATAGATAAAGCAGCTAAGACAAGAAAAAGAGGAAATCTTCTTGCAAAGAGTTGATATTGAAAGGAAATTTTAAGAAGCATAATCAATAATTGAAAATTAAAAGAGAAAAAACAACGAATTCAAAAAGCAGGTAAGCTAGCTAAATTAGTAGCTAGAAAGGAAGAAAGAGGAATGTGAAAGTTTAGTATTTAGATTGAAAAACATTCAAGATTTGGAGAATATGCTAGAGCCACCTCATTTGAATTAATAGGTGCCTTTTTAGTAAACAAATGATATTAATGACTTTGCTTAGCTTGCCTCACTAAATTAAGCTTATCATTTAAATGATGATAGATTAAAGGGACTAGAATAAGTTAATAAAAATCTTGAGACTGAACTATAAATAGTTAAAGAGGCACTTTAAAATGAGTAGGAAAATAAGTTTAGTGATAATCTTGACAGAATCGTCAAAATTTAAGAGCTTTTTAATAAAGTCTAAATTGAAAACAAATAACTAAGGATTAATAATACCAAGATTGAAAGCAAGCTGGAGAGTAAGGAGAAACTAATAAGTCATCTGGAGAAAAAAATCACCTCAACTATGGTAGAAAAAGAGGAAATCATCATTAAGCTAAAGTCTGAGATTGTAATTCTAAAAAATTAAATGGGGGTTAATGACCAAAGATTTGAAAAAAGAGTTTTGGAAGAAAGAGAAACATACTCTAAGAAATTACAACTTAAGTTTAAAGAATAAATATAGTAACTTGAAACGAACAAAGAAGATTTGACTAGAGAAAGAGAACAAATTCTTTAGCGTATTGATTAGATTCAATCAGACTATGATAAACTTGGAATAGATTTTTAAAATTACAGAAATTTATCATCATAGAGAGAAAATGACAGTAATATTCTCCTAGAAGGCCTTCAATTCAAACTTAAAGAGGCAAATTAACTTCTTCTTGATACAACAAACTAATTACAATCTAGAATAGAGACACTTGAAAATATAATTTCTGTTTAGACTAAATAGCTAAACATATAAGAACTAAAACTACAACTTGTGAAAGAATAAACTGAGAATTTACTTAATTTAAAGACGTTTTTGATTGAGGATATAGAGAAATCATTGCAAATTCTATCTAAATAATCTGTCACTCTTGAGGAGTAGATGGTTGAGAATAATCCTAGTAATAATGATTATCTCATAAGTGTTAAGAAGGCTGTCTAATAATCAAAGTCAATGCTTTAATTAGGATCACAATCTCTTAACAATGCTAAATCGATAGTTCAATTCTTATAGATTGAAGAATTGATGAAGATGATAGAATAAGAGAAGAATTTGAGAGATTTAGAAAAAAATGTGAAGTCAATCATTCATCCCTTTTAATCTGGAGAGGACTCATAAGATATAGAAAAAGTAAATCTGCATTTCTAGGATTAAGAAATTAACAAAAATGATCTAAGGTCAAATAAAAGTATTGATTCCAAAAAGGATACTATCCAGCTAAAATAAGAGTTTAATCAGGAAAGACAATCGAAGCAAAAACATATTTAGCCAAGCGCAGGACTTGAATTAGGTAAATTTCTAAAAAAGGATGAGAATGATGAACATTTAAATGAAAGAGATGAGAATTACTTCATTACATTTTGCTATCTCGAATTGGTTAGTATTTTAATCAAAGTTGTAGGTGACGTATACTAAAATTGCTCTACAGAACCCAATGAAAAACTTCCTTAAAAATTTGAGAAGTTACTTAATTTAGCCTCATAAAAATCAGACATTACTACTGAGTAAGAAATACTTTAGAAATTCTTAATCGAAATTAAGAATGGAATTGAGGACAGGTTTTCTCATTTAATTTCTGCTAATGAATACTTGCAAACTTAAATTGAGCATCTGAATTTGACAGTTGCTAATCTACAAAATGATTAGAATAAGCAGCAACTAGGAGCTTAAGATGAATTGAGACTTCAACTAAAGCCTCAAAGTTAAGGAAATTAACAACATGAAGAGGATGATCTTAGTGGTCAGAGTTTAACTCCAAAGAGTAAATTGAGAGGTGTAAATAATAAATCTAGTCATGATTCTCTCAGGAAAAGAAGTAACCTCTCAATTCCATAGTAAAACATTAATAATCAAGATCATTACTAAATTATTCAAGACAGCTAAAATGAAAAAAACAAAAGAAAAGAGCTAAAACATAAAAGCATGCAGCCTAGTTCATCTCAGCATCAACCACAGCTAAAACTAAGCTAATTGAACACTTAAGCTCATCATAATGATTTTTAGGTTGAGAATTTAGATTATATAGGAGAGCATGGAACTAAAAAATCAACTAGAAGGCAAAAGAAAGATGCATTGTCAGTTGCTCAAAATGAGATAGAGTCACTAAAATTGACAATTAATGAATTTAAGTAAAGATCAAAAGACCTTTAATTATAGCTAGCAGGGAAAATTGTTGCACTTTAAGAATAAATAGATTAGTTAGTTACAGAAAAGTAATAATCTATAATGGAATTAAATCAAAATGCACTTCTCAATAACTAATTAGAAGACCAGCATAAATAAGAGATAGAAAAGACTAAGCTAGGAATATAACAGAGAGAAAATCATTTGCAGCAAAGAATAGAGGAACTAAAGTTAAGAATTAAAAATGAGGAAGCGATTAAAAAAGAACTTGAATTGGAAATAGTATCGCTAAAAGATCAAATGCTCAAGAATTAGCTAGAGGTGAGAGACTTTGATTAAATGATCATGAAGAAGGATCAAGAATACTCAAACTATAAAGAAAATATATAGTCCTACATTAATATAAAGACTTCTCAAAGAAACATCTTCTTACTTGCTTTTAATACTGAAAATCCTAATATGACAATGATAAAAGAAAAACTTGTAAGCATATATTGAATATTTTAACAATAAATTAGCTCAAATATTACTTAAATAAGTGTCTAAAAATTGATCAAGATAAGTTCAGGTTTATTAAGAAAGAGGATATAGTGCTATAGTTATAGGAAACTGAGAAGCAAAGTTTTTTGAATTGGAGACTACACTAGTATGAAAGCGTTGAAATTATAAAATTCTGGATTGAAATTGTTGATGATCAAGAGAGTAAGATTTTTGAACTTTTAATATAATTTAGATATTGATAAATACTTCAAACTTCTTAAGAATCAAATTAGAGATGGTACTTGCATACTTTATGATCTTGAGCCTTTATATCTCAGTATTAATTTAGGAAATATTGGGCTTAATGCAAATAATTAAATTAGAGATTACCATATAATGACTAAATAAGGAACCAAGGTATGAATTAATTTGGCATAAATTCAATAGATTTCTGGAGAGGACTTCATGGTGTCAATTTTGAGACATAATTATGATGCATTAGCCATTAAAATTTTTGCAATGAACTTTGAAACTGGAGAAGAATATATTCTTGATTTAGGAAAGAGTGATATATTCGAGTTGACAGATGGACAAAATTACATTTTGGAATAAAATGAGCCAACTTAGCTTATATAGCTCATTCTACATAATTTAAATCTGATTGTTAAGGATTATGATGTAAGAGTCCTTGCTTGTGAGCATAAGATATTCTTTAATACTCTGTTTAGCGAGAAAAATGAACATATTAATAAATTAAAAGAAAAAAAAGCTAACTATATTGATAATTACACAAACGAATATAACTTCCAGAAATTATCACTTAGAGATTCTCAAATAAAGCAGAAGATCTAAAGTTAATCCGTCATGATAAATAAAGAATATCATGGATAGATGAAATAAGATATTCAAGTTCAGACTGATGAACTAGAAAAGCCATTTTTCGATATTCTTTAGTGCGAGTATCGTAGCACAATTAGGGTAGGAAAAATACTAGATATTAAGTTAGAGTTATTGACCAATCATGACCAAGGTGCAACTCTACTAAAATTTGAAGAAAATAAAACTAAAAGTAAGGCTTAAGTTTGCTTCTATAATATGAAGGCGGATAAGTAATTCATTATTTATGCTGAAACTCTCAAAATCTCTGAACATTAGTAGATTTTGATATCTTGTGAGAAATTTTAAACAGATGACTTCTATGTAAAAATTCATGATCTCAAAGAATTAGCCAGTGAATCGTTCACACTAATTAAAAAGGCAAATAACAAGTATCACAAATTAAGTAGGAATGCTAGTCATGATATAATGGATAAAAATGAATTTAGAAATCATATTTATGATCTGACTTTCACAACCTCAATACCCAGCAATCATGCTATACTTGCTAGCATGGATTATCTACAGGAATAGCAATATATGAGAGGAGTGGAACAAAATATGTAATCAAGTACTTTAAGCCATGAGAGTTAGATTGATCCATTACATTCATTGATGTAACCGCCACAAAGGAAAAGAGTAGGTCCTGTCAAAGAAATCAAGGGTCAATGTGTGCAAAATAGTATCATCAATTTTAGTTAAACTCAGCATAGAATATTGGAGTCCTATCAAAATGTAAGCACGATTTTGCTTCAAAAGCATGAAAGAGGCAATTTACTATACAGAAATGTTTACGTTGTGAGATGCATTTTTGACTCACGTGAAGAGCAAGAATAGTAGTCAATCATTTCATTTTACTAGAAAAGAGATGCGATGTAAGTAGAGGTTTATCTTTATAAAGACCATCAAAAAATGTCAATTGCATCTTAAGTCAGCAGCTAAGATCTATTTGGAGCAGATTATCAAGATTTTACTTACCAATAGTAAATTCAAATGCTTGATTAGATGATGGAGAGACTTTATGTTCTATCAGATAATTAAACATATCACTTAAAAGTTGAAAGTGAAGCTGTGCCCATTTCATAAATACTAGAATAGAGAAGGCTAGCTTTCAGTGTTGAATCAAATACTCTCTCTATGGCTAGTATTGATAAAGTTCAGACAGACATGAGAATTAAGGAAATCTAAGATAGCAGAGAAATACTACTTTCGGACAATAAATCTCAAGTTTTCTCGAGTTATGCAACTATTGGAAACAAAGTATTTGATTATAAAGTCTATTTTCTCCTTAAGCATGATAAAGATCCTAATAATTAGGGTAGTCCCAGGAAGAAATAATCAATTCTTAAACGAATGATAGAGAGGTAGACTACTAATATCGAAGCTCTAATAGAAGATACATTGGACTATGACTAAATCTATATTGAAGTTACTGATTAATAAACTGAAATATATGCTGCTCATTTAAATCAAAGATCGCTCTCTCATCTGCTTTCCTAAAACCCATATGAATACAAGAATAATGTATAATTAATCAGCAATCGCAACAAAGAACGTCTAGTTGAATTTCTTAAGAAAAACAGCAAAATAGATTATTAAACTCGTTCACTAATAGTAGAAAACTTTAAGTACACTCAAGAATAAATAAAAAGTCTCTATTAAAATTAAATAGGAGGAACATTAATAAAAAGAGATGATAAATTTAACAAAAGAGATTTGGAAGAACCCCTTATTATGAAGAAAGTCATTCTTAATTAAGAGATTGAAATGAGTGAATTTATTTATGATATAAAGCTATCCTTGGTGCATCAAACTAAAGACGAAAAAACACTACTTTCTTATTCCTTAGAGTTATTCGCTATGAATGATCCGGATATCATTTACATTTATAATTACCCAGCAAAGCAATAATCATCAAATATATAGATACCTACTTTCGTTGGCTTTGATATCATTAATGTGATTGAGAATCCAATGAAGTCAGTTGAATACAACATACTGCACAACTAAGAAAACAACGGAGAGTAAAAAGAAAACAAGGAAATAAACTTCTTTGAATTATTTGGAAAATACATAGATAACAGACTTATTCTAGTTGTTAGTGAACAACTATTCCCCTGGAAACTCAACTATTGTCTTATAGAACCTTGCTCAGGCTTAAATTGGAATTACTGTCTTGATATTCAAAAACTTCAATCAATTTAGAATCCAGACATATACATTCCTATCTATATTGGGGCACTAGATATTATAGACCAAAACTCATTTGAAAATTTCATCGCCCTAATCCTAAATGAGACCTCAAAAGAAAGAAAACACATGACTATTGAATAGTTTGAGAATTTAGAGGGAAGATGGTTTGATATTGGAGACAGTGAAACTAAGCATGATATTATTAAAGGAAAGAAACTAGGAGATGATCTATAAGTTAATATAACAAAAATTGGATCAGGCAATATTGAAATAACGCTTAAAACTAAAGGTAACAGTATGAGAGATAAATCCCAAAGTATGTCATCTTCATCAATTGAGGATCAAGATAACTATTAATACTATGAACATAAGCTACTTCTAAACACTTCCTATATGAACAAGTTCACAGCTTAAATCATTAAAAGAGATAAGCATCACTAGACTTTAGTCTTAGTCTGCGAGATCTTGGGAGGAAATATTTTAGTAAAGATAATAAATCTAGATGAAAGAAAAATAATATTCTAGATGAGATATAGAGATCTTTCATCAGTTGAGAGACAAAAATTAGACATGCTTGAAAAATCAATTGAGTAGTCTTTAAAAACTATGATCAATCAATCCACTTTTGATAGAATATAGAAAATTTATCAGGAAAATTTCATGCTTCCTAATGAAATAGAAACGAAAATTTCAAACCTCTTTATGACTGGGAAAAAGAGTAGCTTAATTATTGATAAAGACAACAGATAAGTTCTCGCATAAATACCTGGAACTCAAAGAGTGATTTTGCATAGAAAAACTTTCTTCGATTAAACACAGGAAAAATTGATTATAGTAGCTATAGAAATTAGGGCAAAAGTTAATTATAGAAGAGTGCCCCTTTAAAATTAGATAATTTCTGAGTGTCAAAATGAAATCAATCATTTTACTCTGCTAATAAGTGAGCCTGAAACAGATAAAAAGATATTTGAAGAAGACGATACACAACAAAGGAGAGAATTCAAAATATCATTAAGATAATGTTTCTTGGATGAGGAACTTGCAAACTTGTCATTAAGGAACATTGAGACTTTGAAAAAATTAGCTAAAATTGTAATTGAAGAGAGAACCATCATCAACAGAGTATAAAATGGAAATTCTGATGATCCAAATAAAGACATTTAGGGCTAATACAAAGTGGAGATAAAAATGGTTAATCCAATGCATTCTTTCCATAATGATAATATGTAAGATAACGGAGGAAACTAAGGAGATTTGTTCTCAGAAGCTAAGCGAGTAATGGATAATATAAGAAAGGCAAATAACATTAGTGCTAGTGGCTAAAGAAAACATCATGATAGAAATATCAATGAAATTGAGGAGGTACTAGAAAATGATGATGACGATGAAAATAATGAGAGTGGCAGAAGTCACATAAGGTCTGGCCAATAATAGACGGCTTCTTTAATGTAAACAAATACTATGAGGAATCAGCACTAGATGTTTGATTAATCGGTAATTGAAGAAGAGGGTTCACAAGAGGAAAATGATGATTTTTCTCCACCAAAATATGCAGATGAGACTTATGTTCCTGATTCCTCACATTAGGTATCGTTATAACAAAAATCAGTGGACAGTCAAACTAATAGATATGAAGGAGAAGGTTAGACTATTATTGAAGAATAAAGCGCTTGTATAAGGGATACCTCCTAAATATAGGATCAAACATTAGATGAAAAACAAAATGAAAGCGAAGAGAATTCAGCTATTTATCAGGTTCAAAAATTGATTAGTGAAACTGAGATGATTGAGGTTGGACTCAAGGCAAGCGAAAATGATGATTTCATTTATTATGCTGAAAGAAAGACGTTAGATAGTAACAAAGTCGCTCTATCGAAAATCTATACTGAAAGAGAAGTTAAAAGAAAATTAAACCTTGAAACTCTTGATCAACTACAGCCACACCAAGTTGTCGAGGAACTTTGTGAATTCCTATTGAAAACAAATGAATTTCAATGAAAAATTATAAGCTTGATTTCATAATTTAAACTTCAATCCTACTTCTGATCAACTCATTTGGGGTTTTGGGGTTTTGGGGTTTTGGGG